GAAGCGAAGGTTATTCGTTGCGATGTCTAGCAATACAAAGAATTCACTTTAGAATTTTCCGAATTGAAAAAGGAGAGGAAGAATTGTTTAAATTTTATGAATTAAAAATAATGCTTTTTACTGAAGGTCTGTTTTTGAATGAGAAAGTGCATTACACTCCAACCTCTATAAGCGGTCACCTTCGGGAAAGAAAAGGTGACCGTTTAATAGAGGTTGACCGTTTAATAGAGGTTGACCGTTTAAAGAATCATAACCAACCGCCGTACCTTACGCGCTCGTATTATTGTTTACATACGTTTAAATACGTCAAGCATACAATAAATTATAGATTGATAGTACCTGTGAGGTACTTAGTTAAAGGTATTTCTGTCCAAACTGAAAGAACGGAAGACGATTCGCGCTCACTTTAAGAAATGCTATGAATCCGCCATTTTCGTGTCCACCTAAAATGGCGCTTCGGCTCGCAAGGTACAGCGGTTGGTTATGATTCTTTAATTGAGGTCATGTTGTACAGTAAATGTACATGAGAATCGAGTTATGAGGAACTCATGAGTGACCGCTTAATGGAAGGTGACCGGTAAATAGAGGGCCGCTTAATTGAGGTTTGACTGTATTATTGTGTATGTGTTTGTGACAGAACGCGGTCGTATCAATTGTATTCCAAAACGAAAATTAGAAACATTCCAGCGCGTTGTTGTCCTAATGTTTGTCATGCGGTGTTTACGAACCGGTTAAAAGTGCTTGAGTCAGTTGTAAGAAACAGTGTATTTTCAAGATGCTATACTGACTTGTCAGTACATATGGAACTTATTGCCATACATCGGGTGACATTTGCTTGGATTATTGTYCAGGCTCACTCATGCATCCATGCATGCATGTATATATGCATGTAATTTATTCATTTACTTCATGAAATATAGTACAATGGAGTTAATTAATATTTTGTCGTCGATCGACCTCATTAACATCATCATCTGACCATTAAATACTATTAATAGCAAAGTCACCTCTAGAAAGGAAAGTACATGTACATATAATATCACAGTTACGTTCACTGACTGATATAAATTTTTCAAATATTGAATTAACACAAAACTGCATAGTTTTGAGTACATTTTCAACATATAATAAGAAAGCAATAATTTGAAAAATTCAAGTTTGATTTTTGTTGCTTGTGCCTACAGAAGTAGTCTCCTTTGCATCCGTTCATCGTCGGGACAGGAATCCCGAAACGCAAACGGATGCGAAGCAACGCGAACTCTTCAAAGGCGAAAATACGTAATTTGATTTTTAATTTTTCTCACGAAAAATACACAGCAATGTCACACATACATTTTATTTCTTAAATCCGGTGCTAGGTTTTTTATTAACAAAATAAGTTATACGCGAGGCCCAGTTTTTTGGAGCGAACTGTGGTGAAAACATGGATCGCCATACTATTTTAATGCTCAACTTCAACTCTTCAAGGGCAAAAATACGTGATTGGATTTTCGAATTTTCTCATGAAAAATCCCCAGAAAGGTCGCATATAGATTTTATTTCTTAAATCCGGTGCTAGGTTTTTACGATTGTTTTTAATGTCGCCGCATTTCTTCAAAAAGCCTTGAAATCTGGCCTTTTTTCGTCAAATTTGGCACTTGGCTTCATACGGACTGTCAGGTCAAGCTTGAGTGATCACGGACTATTTGTCCCCCATAAGTTCCATATGTCGCAGGTCCTCGACAATTTTGTTACAAAGGGAGTGGTTAACGATTTAGGGCTTCAGAAAATGAAATTTCTCTCAGATTAACGCTGRTTTACTTCCTTTATTCAGGGTTCGCTCTTTGAAATCCTTGAAAAATCCTGTAATTTAAAACTGTTTTCAAGGGTGCTTGAAAAGCCYTTGAAAATGGAAAAATCGCTAAAACTCCGGTCCTGGAAAACTCATTGAATCTGATGAAGTTGACATGTTGCTTTTTACAGTTTGGATTGAAAAGTGGCAATTTTTAAAAATCGACACTGGAAACATTCGAAAACGTCAAAAGATATCGTCAAAAATATTTCTTGAAAATCACATTTTTCTGCCTAAAAAGTACTTAAAAAGTCCTTGAGTTTGGTAGTGAAAGTGTTGCACGAAACCTGTTTATTTATACCGTGTGTAGTCTTGGGCTACGTGACTCAGTACATGTTGTATCACTGGAAAAAATCGCGCGCTTTAAAGGTTGTAAATGTGATGTAAATATGATGTAAGTGTCCAAAATTCTGTAAATTTGATATAAATGATTTCCCTTAAATTTACAGAATTTTGGACACTTACAACATATTTACATAAAATTTACAATCTTTAAAGCGCGCGTTTTTTTCCAGTGTATGTGTGACACGCGCGGCACTTGTATGTATGGTTTGTTGATCAGTTAGAAACCCAAAAACTTTAACGGGCTTCTAACATTGAGATGGATAGTTATATCATATCATTGGTATATCACCCGTCTAAGGCAGAAGCTAAAGTCAACTCATAAACAATTTACTAGATTAAACAACAATCACTGAAATTTTAAATATATTCATAGTTCATTATATTTCAGTTGTGACAATTCGACAATTTCTAAGCGCCTTTCTGTCCAACACCAGAAATAGCTTACAGTGTTTGTAAATTTTGAATTCAATGGA